CTCCTACCGGCTTAAGCCAATGCACCCAACCCAGTCAGGTCAGGTCACATTGACTTAAGGGAGGAACACGGCAACCGACCTGGTAGCACAAGCTATCAGGTCCAACTCACACCCACCCACATCCACTCATGTATTTATCCAACCTATTTTTAAAGCTACACAATGTTCTGGCCTCAATCACTGTACTTGGGAGTTTGTTCCACTCATCCACAACTCTATTGCCAAACCAGTACTTTCCTATATCCTTCCTGAATCTGAATTTTTCCAACTTAAAACCATTGCTGCGAGTCCTGTCTAGGCTAGATATTTTCAGCACACTATTTACATCCCCTTTATTTATTCCTGTCTTCCATTTATACACCTCAATCATATCCCCCCTAATTCTACGTCTTTCTAGAGAGTGCAGATTCAGGGCCCTTAGTCTATCCTCATAGGGAAGGTTTCTGATACATGGGATCAACTTTGTCATCCTCCTTTGTACATTTTCCAGAGCATTTATATCCATTCTGTAATACGGTGACCAAAACTGTGCAGCATAATCTAAATGAGGCCTAACCAAGGATGTATAGAGTTGAAGAACAACCTGAGGACTCCTATTATTTATGCTTCTTGATATGAAGCCAAGGATTCTATTAGCTTTATTGCGAACACTTATGCACTGTTGTCTTGGTTTCAGATTACTGCTAACCAGAACTCCTAAATCTTTTTCGCAATCCGTAATATTAAGATCTACATTATTTAGTTTATATGTGGCATGGTTATTGTCCTGTCCAACATTTAGAACTTTGCATTTGTCTATATTAAACTGCATCTGCCACTTCTCCGACCACTGCATCAGTCTATTCAAATCTTCCTGGAGTGCTCTAATGTCCTTGTCAGAATGAATTCGATGGCCTATTTTGGTGTCATCGGCAAACTTGCTGATGTCGCTCTTTATGCCCTCATCTATGTCGTTTCTTTATGCCCTCATCTATGTCATTTATGTAGATTGTGAACAGCAGGGGGCCCAAACACTGACCCCTGTGGAACACCGCTCGTGACACTTCCCCACTCTGATTTCTCCCCATTTATGCAAACTCTCTGCTGCCTATTTGTCAACCATGCCTCTATCCAGGAAAAAATTTCTCCTATTCCATGTACCTTAATTTTCCTCAATAGTCTCTGATGTGGGACCCTGTCAAAAGCCTTACTGAAGTCCATATACACAATATCATATTCATTACCATGATCTACCTCCTCAAATACCTTAGTGAAAAAAGTTAATAAATTCACAAAGGAATTCATAATTCCTTTGTAAAACCATGCTGAGATTCGTTGATTAATTTATGCTTTTCAAGGTGGCTACAAACTGCCTCAGCAATTATTGACTCCATAAATTTTCCCACTATGGAGGTTAGGCTTATTGGTCTATAGTTCGAAGCTAAGGACCTGTCACCTGCTTTGAAAATAGGTATCACATTTGCTATTTTCCACTTATCTGGCACCATGCCAGTTTGTAGTGATATGTTGAAAAGATTAGCCAAAGGTTTGCTAAGCTCCTCTTTACATTCCTTTAGAACCCTTGCATACAGTTCATCAGGGCCTGGGGATTTGTTAGGTTTTAATTTATCTATTTGCCTAAGGACCATGTCACTTGTGACCCAAATCGTCACAGTTTATTATCGTCCTGTTCTACATAATTTATCATTTCTGAATATCGCTGGTATCCTCCTGTGTAAAAACTGAGAGGAAGTATGTGTTAAAAATTCTACACTTTTTCTTATCACTGTCAGTGAGCTGACTCGAGGACTTTTGAGGGGGCCTATCTTGTCCCTGATCTTACTTCTGTATACCTGAAAGAATCCTTTTGGGTTAGTCTTCGATTCTCTTGCAACTTTAACCTCATAATCTTTTTTTGTTTTTTCAAATTCCTTTTTTATTTCTCTCTTTAAACTGAATATATTGATTTCTTAATTCCCCCTTTCCCCTCTTTTAAATTTGCCTATATATGCCTCCTTTTGACCAATCAGATATTTTAATCTATTGTTCATCCATTTAGGATCATTTTTGTTTGATCTGATTTCCCTATTTGGAACATAATTTAACTGAGCAGCTAGAACTATGCCCTGGAAAGCGTCATATCGGCAACCATCACCACCTACCCGACCCTAAGCAGTCATTCCATTTCAGCCCCCTAAGTAATTTTTCAGTCCTATGAAATCAGCCAAGCGAAAGTCAGGGACGGAGACTTGATTGCCATTATTAGGGGAATTCCATGATATATTAAAACTGAGTGATTTGTGATCACTTTCCCCGAGCTCATCATTAACCTCAAGATTATTAATTAGTGTTTCCCTACTGGCAAGAACCAAGTCAAGGAGGTTATTTCCCCTAGTTGGCTCTGTCACAAACTGTTTTAAAAAACAATCCTGGATCGTATCAAGAAAGTCACATGACTCTAAATTTCCTGTCAAATTGCTCCAGTCAATTTGCTGCTGTGTGTGATAATCTATAGAGAGAAAATAACTTTTTTGTTTCAGGTTTATGGTGCAGTACGAGTGTATATCACAGTTAGCCCTGTGCTACACTCCGTTTTCTCTAATATAAGCCACCAAGACAGGGATAGGAGAATGGTACTTGTATACCATATCCTCTTCATACCTCCGTCAAACTGCTCGGTGTTATGCCAAATATTATTCATTCTGGAGTATTTAATAACAAAAAAAGGCACAATACCGTGACTGGAACGATACACAAATAACCCGCACATAAAAGAGAGAAGCTTACGTCGTAAGCTTCTCTCTTTTATGTGCGGGTTATTTGTGTATGGAGTATTTAACATGTTTTATGTTATTTATATTGTTTCTTATGTCATATTAGATCAATTGTGATAGGCAAATAAGCTATAGTGTTGATTTTTTTTTTTGTTTTTTTCAACAAGTCGGCCGTCTCCCACCGAGGCAGGGTGACCCAAAAAAAAAGAAAGAAAATCCCCAAAAAGAAAATACTTTCATCATCATTCAACACTTTCACCACACTCACACATTATCACTTCTTTTGCAGAGGTGCTCAGAATACAACAGCTTAGAAGCATATACGTATAGAGATACACAACAAAAATCCCCAAACTGCCAATATCCCAAACCCCTCCTTTAAAGTGCAGGCATTGTACTTCCCATTTCCAGGGCTCAAGTCCGACTATAGAAAATAACCGGTTTTCCCTGAATCCCTTCACTAAATATTACCCTGCTCACACCCAAAAGATCGTCAGGTCCCAAGTATATTCGTCTCCATTCACTTTTTCAAACCCACGCTCATGAAAACCTTGCGGGGAATCCAAGCCCCTCACCCCAAAACCCCTTTACCCCCTTTTCCAAACCCTTTCGAGGACGACCCTACACCTTTTTTCCTTCCCTATGTTTTATAGTTTTTCCATGTCATTCACTTTGATCCATTCTCTCTAAATGCCCAAAACCCACCTCAAAAAACCCCTCTTCTCCCCTCTGACTAATGTTTTTATTAACCCCCCACCTTCTCCAAATTTCCACACCCCGAATTTCTGCATAATTTTTTAACCACACTTCCCCTTAACAGGGCACTCCACTGCCTCCAACCCTCCTCGTGCTGCATTTACCCCCCCAAGTTTTCACATCCATTAAAGTTTTGGGTTTACTTATTTTTCATACATTCCCTTTTTGCCCCCATAGTAACGTTTTTGATCTACATATCCCTCAACGCACCACTCCCCTTTTTTTTTTCCCTCACAATTCAAAGGGTTTAACCTCATCCTTCATAAATCCATCCCGCCGACAGTCAACCCCTAAGTATCTGAAAACATTCACTTTTTCCCCATACCTCCTCCCAATTTGATACCAATTTTTTTTTATCTAAATCATTTGATACCTATCACCCTTACTCTTTTCATTTCACTTTTTTTCTTTCTACCCTTTTCACACATTCTCAAACTCATCCACTAACCTTTGCAATTTTTTTTTAGAATCCCCATAACACAGTATCATCAAAAAAGTAACTGTTCAATTCCCCTTTTGAATTTGATTCCCCATAATTTAATCCCCCCCCTCTCCTAACACCCTAGCATTTTCTTCTTTTTCAACCCCATCTATAAATATATTTAAAAAACCATGGGACATTACCATCCCTTTAAGACCTACTTTTACTGGGAAGTATTTCCCCTTTCTACACACCCTAACCCAGCCTCACTTTCCCCTAAAACCTTTTACGATTTTAACTTACCCCCTATCAAAATATTGCAAAATCTGCCACATTGTCCTCTATCCACCACATATTCCTTTTCTAAACCCTAAAGCAATAAAAACTTTTCCCACCTTTTCAAATACTGTTCAATATATGCTTCAATGAAATATTATGTTGATATTAACTAAAAATAAAGCATATTCTCCTGCTTTAAGAGACTGAGTTCATGGCAACCAACAGGGGTTTTAAAACCCCCTTCTTTAATGGATAATGTACGGGTTAGGTGCTTTACATAATGAGAAGCATTTCTTTTATTCATTGGAACCATGGCTAGGGCTAAAAGTAAGCAAGTTAAAACAATAAATGGAGAAAAAGAAATTGGAATGACTTGTGCAGCAAGTAGCGCCACCAAACAGTACCAGCAGGTTGGTGTGGCGACCCTGGAAATTTGAAATTATGCTAGCCAAAATTAGTGCCGAATAACTGAAGGAACCGAATAACTGATTGCCGGATTTGTGATGGCGGACCTGTACTACTACTACTACTTCTAATACTATCAATACTACTACTACTAATAATACTACTACTTCTAATACTACTATTACTACTTCCAATACTACTACTACTAATATAATACTACTACTAATACTACTATTACTACTACTACTACTAGTACTACTACTACTACTACCACCACATGATAAACTTCATCAATGTATTAATACAGTACAGTATCTACATTAAGTGTCACCTCCAGTATCCACTGGTGTACAAGAGAAGGGCCTTACCAATGCATTAATACTTACATTAAGTGTTCTCTCTAGCTTTCCAGTGGACGTAGAGAAGCAGTACAAAACATGATCTTCACCGACACAGAAGATCCACTCACCACGGGGTGACACAACACACACCACAAAGTCACCACCTTCTCTTTTACCAGAAGACAGAGAACGCACTGTCTGGCCCTTTAAAAAAAGTATAACTGGTGATGTTAATATAGCCTGACCCTGTAAACACACATTGTAATTAATGATACTAACACAGTCTGACAGCAAATATGCAATATAATTAGTGGTACTAACAATCTGACACATTATAAGAGATAAGATAGATAAGATTTCGTTCGGATTTTTAACCCCGGAGGGTTAGCCACCCAGGATAACCCAAGAAAGCCAATGCGTCATCGAGGACTGTCTAACTTATTTCCATTGGGGTCCTTAATCTTGTCCCCCAGGATGCGACCCACACCAGTCGACTAACACCCAGGTACCTATTTGCTGCTAGGTGAACAGGACAGTAGGTGTAAGGAAACGTGTCGAAATGTTTCCACCCGCCGGGAATCGAACCCGGGCCCTCCGTGTGTGAAGCGGGAGCTTTAGCCACCAGGCTAAACCAGGCTAATACACAGTCTAAACCTGGCAACTCACAATATAACTAATTTCTATCCCACTGGGCTTACTACCAGTATAATCATTAAGTCCATAAGGGTCATTTAGCCATAAATTACACAAAATGCTCCTTTTGATTATACAGTACTTTTTTATGGAATATCAACACAGTATTAAAAGCAGGAGGCACATTTAGGAAAGACAGGCACATTATTATCATCATATTTATGGGGAAATGCTAAGCCTGTACAAGATGTACAATGTCTGGGGAATGAGTTGTAAAATAGGTCAGAATTATTATTAATGTATGTCAATGACCTGTAAGGGTCATACAGCACCGATAATGAAGTTTGATCCAAAGGTGAGGTACTTCTAATATCTTGGATCAAAGGCTATAACTGGAATCAAGGCACTGCCCCCCCAATCCTCCTTCCATGAAGGTAACGATGGATCAAGGAATGGAGCAGTGCAAGTATATAGGTCAATTCAATAACTTTTATCCAACAAGTTTTGGATATCAAAAACTTTACTGTATTACTGAAAACATTATTATAACAACAGTAATCAGTTACTTCATGAGGGTTTGCTTTATGAGAGTTTGCTTTCATGAGATGACTCCATATATACCAGTAATTCCCTATGTATGTATAAAGTCAATCTTATACAATCAGTATAGTTTTGTAAAACACAATTAGTGCAGGTGGATGAAGTGTGCTTCGAGATTATTACAGCTGTTGGTATATGTCGTACAAATAATAATAATAATAATTATTATTATTATTTTACATGGCAGGATGGCTGGTGTCTTTCTTCTGTGTCCTAAACACTTGAGGTACAAGGTATATCTTGCTACTTCTACTTACATTTAGGTCACACTACACATACATGTATGTATGTAAGAGTCCTGGAAATGGAAAGTACAATGTCTCCACTTTAAAGGATGTTACAGTTATAAAACTGCAACATTAACACCCCTCCTTCAGAGTACCGGCACTGTACTTCCCATCTCCAAGAATCAAGTGCAGCCTGCTGGTTTCCCTGAATTCCTTCATAAATGTTATCTTGCTTACACTCCAACAGCATGTCAAGTCCTAGAAACCATATGTCTCCATTCACTCCTCTCTAACACGCACAAGCACGCTTGCTGGAAGTCAAAGCCCCTTGCACACAAAACCTCCTTTACCCCCTCCCTCCAACCTTTCCTAGACCGACCCCTACCCCGCCTTCCTTCCACTACAGATTTGTATACCCTGAAAGTCATTCTATTTTGTTCCATCCTCTCTACATGTCCAAACCAAATCAATAACCCCTCCTCAGCCCTCTGGATAATAGTTTTCGTAATCCCACACCTCCTCCTAATCTCCAAACTATGGATTCTCTGCATTATACTCACACCACACATTGCCCTCAGACATGACATCTCCACTGCCTCCAGCCTTCTTGTGGCAACATCCACAGCCCATGTCTCACACCCATACAAGAGCATTGGTATAACTATACTCTCATACATTCCCCTCTTTGCTTTCATGGATGAAGATCTTTGTCTCCAAAGACTTGTCAGTGCACTACTCACTCTTTTCCACTTGTCAATTCTATGATTCACCTCATCTTTCATAGACCTATCTGCTATCTGCTGACACATCCATTCCCAAATATCTGAACATATTCACCTCCTCTATACTCTCTCCCTCCAATCTGATATCCAATCTTGTGTTACCTAATTTTTTTTAACTTCATCACTTTACTCTTTCCTATATTCACTTTTAACTTTCTTCTTTTACATACCCTACCAAACTCATCAACCAACCTCTGCAACTTCTCTTCAGAATCTCCCAAAAGCACAGTGTCATCAGCAAAGAGCAACTGTGACAACTCCCACTTTTTTTGTGATTCTTATCTTTTAACTCCACGCCTCTTGCCAAACCCTCGCATTTACTTCTCTTACAACCCCATCTATAAATATATTAAACAACCACGGTGACATCACACATCCTTGTCTAAGGCCTACTTTTACTGGGAAAAATTTCCCTCTTTCCTACATACTCAACTTGAGCCTCACTATCCTCGTAAAAACTCTTCATGCTTTAAAGTAACCAAACCCCTACCCCATACACTTGCAACATCTGCCACATTGCCCCCCTATCCACCCTGTCATACGCCTTTTCAAATCCTAAATGCCACAAAGACCTCTTTAGCCTTATCTAAATACTGTTCACTTATATGTTTCACTGTAAACACCTGGTCCACACACCCCCTACCTTTCCTAAAGCCCCCTTTGTTCATCTGCTTCCTATTCTCCGTCTTACTTTTAATTTTCTTTAAATTATTAACTCTACCATACACTTTACCAGGTACACTCAACAACTTATCCCCTATAATTTTTGCACTCTCTTTTATCCCCTTTGCCTTTATAAAAGGAACTATCATGCTCTCTGCCAATCCTAGGTACCTTCCCTCTTTCCATACATTTTTAAATAATTGAAACCAACCACTCCAAAACTATATCCCCACCTGTTTTTAAACATTTCTATCTTTATCCCTTTCAATCCGGCTCCCTTTTACCCCCTTTCATTTTACCTACTGCCTCACGAACTTCCCCCACACTCACAACTGGCTCTTCCTCACTCCTACAAGATGTTATTCCCTTGCCCTATACACGAAATCACAGCTTCCCTATCTTCATCAACATTTAACAATTCCTCAAAAAATTCCTCCATCTTCCAATACCTCACCTCCCATTTAATAACTCTCCTCTCCTATTTTTAACTGACAAATCCATTTGTTCTCTAGGTTTCTTACTTGTTAATCTCACTCCAAAACTTTTTCTTATTTTCAACAAAATTTTTGAAACATCTCACCCACTCTCTCATTTGCTCTCTTTTTACATTGCTTCACCCCTCTTTAACTTCTCTCTTTTTCTCCAATACTTTCCCTCCTTGCATCACTTTTACTTTGAAAAAAACTTCTATATGCAACTTTTCCCCCTTACACTCCTTTACATCATCTTTCCCACCAATCGCTCCTCTTCCCCTCCGACCCATTTTTCCGAAACCCACAAAATTTGCTGAACACTCAACCTACATTTTTAACCCTACCCCCATCCCTCTTCGCCCCTTGCCTATCCTCATTACCCATCTTTTCCCCCAATAGCTTTTTATATCTTCCCCAAACTCCCCTCCCTTTTATTTTTTAAAAACCTTCACCTCTCTCTTTCCCTGACTTTATTCTCCTTTATCCCATCACCTTTTACTCCAGTGTAGTACAACAAAAGGATCTGATAATCTTTGGCCCCCTTATAAACAGTACACCTGAAGCCCCTACTCAACAGTCTTTATCTACCAATACTAATCCACAAACACTGTCATTTCCCCTACATCATATGTGTATACTTATTTATCCCTTTTTCTTAAAATATGTATTACCTAAACTAAACCCCTTTTATAAAAAAGTTCAATCAAAGGGCCCCATTATCTTTACACCGGGCACCCCAAATTACCTACCACCCTCTCTAAAAGTTTCTCCTTTAGCTTTAAAGTCCCTACCAAAAATACTCTCTCATTTGGTTAAAAGGCCCATATTTTCATTAACATCCCCAAAATCTTCTCTCTCCTCTGCATTCCTCTCTTCTCCAGGTGCATACACCTTATTATGACCCACTTCTCGCCCCAAACCTTTTACTTTAACCACTAATTCTTAAAATTTCACTTTATATTCTCTTTTTCTCCTTCCATAATGATCATTTAAACATTATGCTACCCTTCCTTTGCTCTAACTCCTCAATACTCCTTTTTTTATCCCATTTATTCCCCCCCTAAAACTCCCCTCCCCCCTTCACTTTGTTTCGTTTAGGGCCGGACATCCAATTTTTTATTCATAAATCAGCTCATCTTTTTTCTTGCATCCGCACTACACCACGCACATTTAAGCAACCCATTTTATAAATTTTTCTTCTTCTCTTTTTTAGAAATTGTATACAGGAGAAGGGGTTTTCCCATTGTCCCGGCTTTTAGTCGCCTCATACGACACGCGGTTTTACGGAGGAAAGTTTCTTTTCCATTTTCCCCGGACAATAGAAAAATAAAAAAGAACAAGAGCTTTTTAGAAAAAAGGAGAAAAACCTAATGTATTATATATAATGCATGGCGTGTCTTAGGTGCCCAAAAAGGTAATAGGGTACAAGATACCCCTGTTACTTAGGTGTTTAGAGACAGAAAAAAAAAACCAGCAATCCTACCATCAGCAAAACAGTTACAGTTTTTTTTTCACAGTTTTTTGGCGGACGGTATATTTCCGGGTGGTTGTTCCCCAACCTACTCCATATATAATATATATATATTATATATTTATAATAAAAATTAATATAATAATATATATTTTTAAAAATTTATAATATAAATAAAATTTTCTTTTTTTTCAACCCCCGGGCCACCCCCCCGAGGGGGGTGGCCCCAAAAAGGAAAAACGAAAGTTTCTCCTTTTACATTTAGTAATATTACGGAGAAGGGGTTACTCCCTTGCTCCCGGCATTTAGTTGCCTCTTAAACACCATGGCTTAGGAGGAAAATTCTTTTCCCATTTCCCCCTGGAGATAAGAGGAAAAAAACAAGAATAAAAACTAAAAGAAAATAGAAGAAACCCCAAGGGGTGTGTTAAATGTTTGTACATGTATGTGAAATGTGCCAAGTGAAAGTAGAATAGCAAGACTCCCTGAAATCTTGCATGTCATGAGACAGAAAAAAGGGACACCAGCAACCACCTCATGTAAAAAACAAGGCTTTCGTTTTTCCCCTCACTTGGCAGGACGGTAGACCCCCTGGGGGGTTGCTGTACCCAAACCCACTACATATATAATATTATAAATATATAATAAAAAATTTTATTATATAATATATATATTATTATATTTTAATATATATAATAGAAAATATAGATATTATAGATATATGATATTATAATAAAAAATAGTTTATATATAGATAATAATATATAGTATAGATAAAAAATATATATTTATATAAAAATATATAATTATATATAAAAATAATATTTTCTTCTTTCAACACACCAGCCGATCCCACCCAGGGGGGGTGGCCCCAAAAAGGAAAAACGAAAGTTTCCCTTTTACATTTAGTAATAATACGGAGAGAGGTTATACCCCCCTTCCCCATAATATATATATAAAATATATATAATATATATAATAATATAATGACCTGTCTATTGGGGATTTTAAAGGAATTGCAGAGATTGTGGATGAATTTGGTAGGGGGGGCAAAAGAATAAATTTAAAAGGGGAATACAGAAAGAAGGGTTTTTTGGGATAACAAAAAAAATTAGGTGAAAAAGATTAAGCAGATTTGGGGGGAGAGGGTGTGGGGGGGGGGTAACGTATTAAGATAATTGGGAGTGGACGGGCAGCGGAGGGTCTAGAAAGAAGGGTGAATCATAGAAATTTAGAAAAAAAGAAAATGAGGGTCACTTAGGGGTCGTGGGGGACAAAGAACTTTTTTCCTTTTGGGGGCAAAGGGGGAATGTATGAGATTAATTTTTACCCAAAAAGTCTTTATGGGTGTGAACGTGGGGATGAATGTTTCAGCGAGGAAGGCTGGGGCGGGAGATGTCTGAGGGGAAGGTTGTGGAAAATAATGCGAATTCGTAGTTGAAGTTAGGAGGAGGTTTTCGGGGTTCCAAAACTGTTGTCCGAGGGTGAGGAAGGTTTTTTGAGGGGTTCGGGCCGTAGAGGAATGGACGAAACAAATGCCCCAAAGTGTAAAGTCTGAGTGGGAAGGAAAAGGGGGGGTAGGGCGGGCCCAGGAAAAGGTTTGGAGGGGGGGTAAAGGGGGTTTTTGTGGAGGGGGTTGGGCTTCCACAGGCATGCGTAGCGTGTTGATAGGGGTAAAGGAGACAAAAGGTTTTTAATACTTGACGGTGTTGGAGTGTGACAAAGTAACATTTATGAAGGATTCAGGGAAAACCGGGAGGGGCCCGGGCTTAGCCCCGGGGAAAGGGAAGTACAGTGCCTGCACCTGAAGGGGGGTGTTAAAGTTGATTTAAAAAATGTAGTGTAAAGCACCCTTTTTGGGGAAGACGTGATGGAGTGAATGATGGTTAAATTTTTTTTTTTTCGGGCCCCCCTGCCTTTGGGGGGAAGGGCCAGTGTAAAATAAATAAAAAAATAATAATAAAATATTTAATATTATTATATAATATATGTCAATATATTATATATATAATAAATATATATAATTATATAATACATATATATATATATATATTATATATATATATATATATTATATAATATATAAATTAATATATATATTTAAATAATATATAATATATATATATATATATATAAGTGCATTGGCAAAATGGGCTGTGAAAGATGATATGGGGGGGTTAAAGAGGGTTGGAATATTTAAAAATGAGTATTAGAATGGGGGCAAAATTTTGTGGTTATGGGAGGGGGGGGAGGAGGAAAGAGGGTGATTGGGGGGAATGGAAGTAAAGGGGGTGTTTAAAAGAGAAAAAGGTCCCTTATGAGGGGTTTTTTTTAAAAAGCAAAGGTTTAAAAAAGGCAGAGAATTGGGAGTAAAAAAAAAGGTAAAGAGAGGGGTTAGAGAGGCAAAAGGAGGCAGTGATAGAGTGGGAGAGGCACTGTAAAAAATTTTAATGAAAATAAAAAAAATTTTGGTGAGTTAAACAAGAAAGAAAGCCTAGGAAAAATTTTGGGAATTTGTCGTTAAAAACAGAGTAGGGGATTAGTGATGGGAGATGGAGGTTTGGGTAGATGGCGAAATATTTTGGGGAACTTTAAATTTTAAGGAAAAAACAGGGGCAGAAATTTTCAGCACGGTCGGGAGGTATCCCATCTTTTTAGGAGTAAAAGAAGAGCAAATTAATGTGGGGGGGGTACGTGAGGCATTTACGCAAAAAAAAGGGGGGGTAAAGCAGCTGGAACTGATGGGATCAGACAGAAATGTTAAAACAGGGGGGATATAGTGTTGGAGGGGTTTGGGTACTTTTGTTTAATAAATGATAAAAGAGGGGAAGGTACCCAGGGATTGGGGAAGAGCATGTATAGCCCCTTTAAAAAGGGGAAAGGGGGCAAAAAAGACTGTAAAAATGTAGAGGAATAAGCTTACTGAGTATACCCGGGAAAAATGTACGGTAGGTTAAAAATTGAAGAATTAGGGTAAAACAGAAGAGGATTGCGGATGAGCAAGAGGTTTTTTGAGGGGTAGGGGAGTGTAGATCGGGTGTTTACATTGAAGCATATATTGAAAGTTTTAATAAAATAGGGAAGTTTTTAAAGGCATTTTGGTTTAAAAGGCTATGATAAAATGGGGAGGAGCAATGTGCGATGTTTGCAAGTAATGGAATAGGGGAAGTTTTAAATGCGAAAAAAGTTTTTTGGGATAGTGAGCTCAGGTTTGGGTTGGGAGAGAGAGGGACTATTCCCGGTAAAATAGGTCTTAGACAGGGGGGTGTAAGTCACCAGGTTTTTTAATATATTTATAGATGGGGTTGTAAAGGAAGTAAATGCTAGGGTTTTGGGAGAGGGGTGGGTTAAATTTTTTTGGGGAATCAAATTCAAAAGGGAATTGAACAGTTATTTTTGCTGATGAACGTCTTATGGGAATTCTAAAGAAAAATTGCAAAGGTTAGTGGATGAGTTTGGGAATGTGTGTAAAGGTAAAATTTTGAAAGTGAACATAGAAAAGAGTAAGGTGATGAGGGTGTCAAATGATTTAGATAAAGAAAAATTGGATATCAAATTGGGAGGAGGAGTATGGAAGAAGTGAATTTTTCAGATACTTGGGAGTTGACGTGTCGGGGGATGGATTTATGAAGGATGAGGTTAATCATGAATTGATGAGGGAAAAAAGGTGAGTGGTGCGTTGAGGTATATGTGGAGTCAAAAAACGTTATCTATGGAGGAAAAGAAGGGAATGTATGAAAGTATAGTAGTACCAACACTCTTATATGGGTGTGAAGCTTGGGTGGTAAATGCAGCAGCGAGGAGAGGGTTTGGAGCAGTGGAGATGTCCGTTTAAGGGCAATGTGTGGTGTAAATATTATGCAGAAAATTCGGAGTGTGGAAATTAGGAGAAGGTGTGGAGTTAAAAAAAGTATTAGTCAGGGGGCAGAAGGGGGGTTGTTGAGGTGGTTTGGTCATTTAGAGAGAATGGATCAAAGTAGAATGACATGGAAAGCATATAAATCTATAGGGGAAGGAAGGCGGGGTAGGGGTCGTCCTCGAAAGGGTTGGAGAGAGGGGGTAAAAGGAGGTTTTTTTGGGTGAGGGGCTTGGACTTCCAGCAAGCGTGCGTGAGCGTATTAGATAGAGTGAATGGAGACGAAATGGTACTTGGGACTGACGATCTGTTGGAGTGTGAGCAGGGTAATTTTTAGTGAAGGGATTCAGGGAAACCGGGTTATTTTCATATAGTCGGACTTGAGTCCTGGAAAGGGGAAGTACAAATGCCTGCACTTTAAAGGAGGGGTTTGGGATTTTGGGCAGTTTGGAGGGATATGTTGTGTATCTTTATATGTGTATGCTTCCAGACTGTTGTATTCTGAGCACCTCTGCAAAAACAGTGATAATGTGCGAGTGTGGTGAAAGTGTTGAATGATGATGAAAGTATTTTCTTTTTGGGGATTTTCTTTCTTTTTTGGGTCACCCTGCCTCGGTGGGAGACGGCCGACTTGTTGAAAAAAAAAATATATATATATATATATATACACACACACCCCTCTGGATTTTCTTACTAGTACTTGTTCTTGTTTATTTCTGCTTATCTCCATAGGGAAGTGGAACAGAATTCTTCCTCCATAGGCTATGCATGTCATAAGAGGCAACTAAAATGCCTGGAGCAAGGGGCTAGTAACCCATTTTCCTGTATACATTAGTAAATTTAGAAAGAGAAACTTCTGCCTTTCTTTTTGGGTCACCCTGCTTTGGTGGGATACGGCTGGTTTGTTGAAAGAAGAATATAAAATATGAAGTAACTTTAAAACACTTGAAATTTTGCAAAGTTTCCAGACATACTGAAGAGACATGGAGCTCACGGAGAATGTAAACAAACTGAGTGGTGCCCGGAGACCGTATTAGTGAGTCGGGTGGGACGGGGGGCAAGCTGTATAGAGAGTTTTGGTCATAATCTGAAATGTCCGTATTTGTGGAATGCCATAAGGCGAAACGCCGTAAAGTGGGGCCCTAGTGTATAATTATTATTGCATTATCATCATCAATGTTAAAAAAATGGTCATTAAAGAAAAAAGTATAGACGTTACAACTGAAGGAATACCTTACCTGCATGTTCATTATAGTGACAGTATTGGAGCGATTACAAACAACAATGTGATCAGGATTCTTCGGCAGAATGTGGACAGAATACACTGGAAGATCTGTTGACGTTACACCAGCTAATGATTTGAAGGTTGCGATGCACTCTGTAGTTTTGACAGACCACACCTTCACAGTTCCATCTGATGAGGCACTATTCAAAATATTAGTCATTAGGAACCATACAAGTTGTTTCTTTATTACTACACTGGCCATTTTATACTAAGTTTAGGTGACCCAAAGAAGGAAACACTCACCATTCACTCTGTTTCCCACCAAGGTAGACTCAGAAAAAACCTTTACTATCACTCACTCCCAGTTTTCCACCAAGGAAAAGATTTGTGACCCAACAAAGAAGAAAATGCTTTTGCCATCATTCATTCAATTACTGTCTTGCCAGAAGCATTCTTACATCACAGTTCAGATGATCCTCCAAGCCACAACATTCCCACCCCTCCAGAGTGTAGGTGCTGTACTTCCTACCTCCAGGATTCAAGTTCATCTGACTGGTTTCCCTGAATCCTTTCGTAAATGTTACCCTGCTCACACTCCAACATGTTAAATCATAAAAACCACTTAATGCCACTCACACTTATCTAACACACTTGCACAAGATTGTTGGATGCTGAAGCTCCTAATACTGACTATACACAAATAACCCGCACATAAAAGAGAGAAGCTTTACGACGATGTTTCGGTCCGACTTGGACCATTTACAAAGTCACACGATCCAAGTCGGACCGAAACGTTGTCGTAAAGCTTCTCTCTTTTATGTGCGGGTTATTTGTGTATCATTCCAGTCACGGTATTGTGCCTTTTTTTGTTATTTATACTGACTATGCAGTGAAAATATAACATCCTCCCTTCCCAGTCTTCCTCGGGAAATATGGCTCTGGTCAACATATGATCAGTAGTATGTACTTGTGATAGTGGTATTTTGCATTTCTTTATAAATACAGTTTCACGAATGAATCATACATACTTCATGTGTGCTCATGTTTTCAATTTCTTTTCCAAATTCATGAGGATTTGTACTCATGTCAGAAATGTGATTTGTACAATGGGTAGAGGTAATGAAAACGCTAGCTAAATATTTACCTCACTTCTCCTGTCATCTAGTGGATTACTGAACACTGATTCAAACTATTCATTCATGATTTTGCTCATATTTTTGCAGCATCTGCATTTGAAGCTCATGTAAGCAGTAGGCTAATTCTAGAGGCAGGTCTTTACTAGCATTTCTACATATGTAGAAATATTAAGAGCTTTTTTTTGCAATTCTTGAATATCATTTGTTGTTTTTGTGCTTCTTCCATCTGGTTTTATATCTGTTACAGGGTTTATACAGTACCTGGGAGGCAATTAGGTCTGATCCAAGGGAAGGTCAGGTCAATTTTCTTGAAACGAGAGCCCTTCACCATCATCAAGGAGCCTTCCTTGAGAGGATCTATCTATATCCCTAATTTCTTGGTATAGATTTTCTTTCCTTTATTGTAACCCCTTTTCTTCTTTTGTACTGTCTTCTACATTTTATTTCAATAGTTGATCTCCTTGTATACTTTCTCACTGGAATATATTTTATACAGGCACTGTACTCAGCTTTCTCATGCACTAATACAGGTTACGGGTGCTGAAGTCTATTTCCTAGGGACTTTGTGATAGTTCTTTGTTTATTTAGTCTCAATTCTCTGGGGTTTTAAATTAAATTTACTGAATATTCCTTCATGTTGTCTGATTTTTTGGTTCTCCAAGAATGAATTTATGCTCGTCTGTACTTCAATAATGTTATGATCAAAGCTCATTGCATTTAACCCTTAAACTGTCCAAATTTGGCACAATAGGCTTGAGTAGCCTACACATGAAAGAATGGGTCTGTGCACTCAGTGTGTGTAGTATTAAAAAAATCTGGGGCCACTTAGTACCTTGTGGGAACACCAGTTCAACTGAATGCCAGTCAGAGCAAACAGCATGGCAAACACCAGGGATTCACTGATGCCATGTCACATTAACACTCCCCTTTTAAGAGGAAAGTAAAGATAGGTTAGATAAATATACATGAGTGAGTGTGGGTGGGTGAGAGTTGGACCTGATTAGCTTGTGCTACTAGGTCTGATGTCGTGCTCCTTCCTTCAGTGGATGTCACCTGACTAGGTGGGTCATTGGTCTAAGCTGAAGGAGGGGGGATAACATGGCCCTGCCTTGCATGGGCCAGTAGGCCTGCTGCAGTGTTCCTTCTGTCTTATGTTCTTATGTATTTGGCAGGCTGGCCAGCTGGCTGGCTGGCTGTGGCTGTCTATATCTCTGTCTATCTATATCTCTGTCTCATATGTACACATAAGCACAGTTATTATACATAGTGTAAATTACCTAGGATAACCCAAAAATTCCAGGCGAAGATAAACAGACAGATAGATAGACAGATAGATAGACAAACATATTTGTGTGTATCAGTGAAAACAAATAAACCTAGGGCTCCCCAAGTGCCCATTTATTAAATGTCACTGGGCTGTCAACAGATGTCATAACACCATTCTTCAAGGAGTTTCATATATGTATACTCCAGGCAGACAGAAAGACAGATAAGCAGAGACAGACAGGCATGCAGACAGAACAGGTAGACAGATAGATAGATAGATGGACATGTTTGTGTGTAACAGTGATGACAAATACAGCGAGGGTTAGCTAAATACATGAGTGAGTGTGGGTGGATATGAGCTGGACCTGACTAGCTTGTCCTACTAGGTCTGATGTCGTGCTCCTTCCTTCAGTGGATGTGACCTAACTAGGTGGGTCATTGGTCTAAGCTGGGGGGGATGGGTTGAGGACATGGATCTGCCTTGCATGGGCCAGTAGGCCTGCTTCAGTGTTCCTTCTTTCTTATGGATTCGGCAGGCTGGCCGAATGGCTGGCTCACTGGCTGGCTTTGGCTGGCTGGCTGGCTGGCTGGCTTTGGCTGGCTTTGGCTGTCTCTCTGTCTATATCTCTGTCTCACATGTACACATAAGTACAGATATTATACATAGTGTAAATTACCTAGGATAACCCAAAAATTTCAGATAGACAGACAAACATGTTTGTGTGTATCAGTGAAAACAAATAAAGCCAGAGTTCCCCAAGTGCCCATTTATCAAATGTCACTGGGATGTCAACAGTTGTTATAACACCATTCTTCAAGGAGTTTCACATATACTCCAGATAGATAGAAAAAAAGATAAGCAGAGCTAGACAGATAAGTAGAAACAGACAAGTAGGCAGGCAGGTGGACAGACAGACAGATACATAGACGGACAGACAAGACATGTTTGTGTGTAACAATGATAACAAATATAGCGAGGGTTAGCTGGAGCAGTGGGTATTTATCAAATGTCACTGGGCTGTCACCAGTATAGGGATGCCTTTCATAACACCATGCTTCAAGGTATACTCCAGCATGTCTAAAACATTGCTGGGACCTATAAATACCTACCATCCAACTTACGACCACTCAACTTACGACCATGTTTTGTACGCCAAATTTCTGTGAAATAAACAACTGTTTGTGTTGTACAGTGTTTATCCTAAACCTTACAGTATAAAATGCAGTAGTAACAGCATAAAAAGTAAAAAATGAAATACCAAAATAAAACAATAAAATAAAATCATTACAAAAGTGTGATGTTGATATTCAGTAGTAAGGCTCGACATGACATTCTGACTTACGACTGGTTGGTTAGAACCAAGCTTGGTCGTAAGTCGGATGGTACCTATACTTTGGATATATTTCTAGACAACAGTAAATAACCCAGGCAGGTGTAAATGTTCACCTGTCAATGTGATTGTAACTATTTGAGTACTATTTCAGTATCTAATATTAGTGTCAGAACAAAGTTTGGCTATGAAATCACAAGAACTATTATAAATTGTAATTATCAGAACATAAAAAATACATAAATTAAAATAAAAATGAGAAAAAAAGGTATATAGGCAACACTTCTGCAAGCGGCAGGAGTCGATGTTGCCATCAGGTGAGCATCCAGAGCCAACTTTGCGATCTTATATTTTGGTAAGTACTGACCCTAAATTTGTTTTTTAATCCTATTACATGTAGAAAAATGTGCTCTTCATTAAAAAAAAAAAAAAAAAAAAAAAAGATATTTTTATTTTTCAAAATATTCAGAGCGCTATGCGAGTGAACGTAGATCTATGTTTGGACAGTTTAAGGGTTAAGTGTGTTATGTATCTAATTAGTTCCTCCTTGTTTGTTAAGATCAAATCTCCTGTATTTTAATTTTTTAGGATGTTCTCTAATATGTTTTGACCATCTGGTGCAAACAAGGCCTGGTGACCAACCTTATTATGTTATGACCATATAGTTTAAAGACGACTTGGTGATTAGGTTTATTATTTGGTGTAATGAAAACTTTGGCAACCAACCTTATTATGTTATGACCATCTTGTGTAAAGGTTGCCTGGTTGACAAAGGATGAATGCCCTCGGAACTCCTTCAAGGTCTTGCCAGATTTTAGCCCATGGATTCTAGAAGCAAACTATGTGATTACTAAAAAGCAAATTAATTTTATTACAGTAAATAATTACAGTTTAAATAATTTAGAGGTTAGATCTATTAGCTCCAAGAATTCACATGAATAGAGCTCGTTTTGCAGACAACCTGGAAGTTAAAGCTACCACATACATAACCACTCTTTTTTATAAATGATTCAATGAGGAAACTCAATTCATCAAGAAACAAGGAATCTGTGCCATCAGTGCCAGGACAATATACAACCATCAGTCTCTCAATCTGCTGATGGCATTTAACCACTTCTTCCATGACCTTAAATGGTACAATAGGCTGACCAACTGATATATGATAATAAGCACATGACATAAATGAAGAACAGATGGCTACAGCTCCGCCACCAAAGTAGCCACTGACCTTTGAATATGATAAGCTGAAAAGGACCTGGGGACAGTGGCTGCAATAACTTATGTCAGACTGAACCAACCATGTTTCTGTCAAATACAGAATATCAAGAGAAAACTTGTTCAAAACTTCAATACCATGCATAATTTTCATATTGAAGTGACATTCAATAATCCCACCCTCAATGGTGTTAAGCAGCCTAAGGATTTTTTTTTTTAAACTAAAATTTGTATTTTCCATCAATTTACAACACTACAGCATCATCTATGGACAGTCTGAGCTAGACATAAAATGAATTTTGACCTGAAGAGCATTTGTGGAGGAGCAATTAATACAACAGGGAGAATATCGGTTGCTGCAACTTTGAGATTCATGATCAGTACAAAAAGCACACCTATGTGGACTAGATTTGGCTGCAGTATGACCAAAGCTCTGGCAATGGTCACCCAAAACCTGTCATAAACCTTGCATCTTGTTAGGCCAACAAATAGATAAAGGATGGCCCTGCTTTACAGCACTTTGCTTTACGGCAATTCCCTAACATGGACACTTCAAACTATATCCAAAAATTCATTTATATGGCTCCTGATTCACTGTTATGGTATCTGCACACCACCTGTTCACTCCTCCATGAGCTATGCATTTCTCCCAATCATGTCTGGAAACTTTCCAAAGTTTCAAGTGTTTTAAAGTTATTGCATATTTTATATATACAGTAGGGCCCAGTTTTAAGGCTTTTCGTCTTACAGCGTTCATATGTTCTTTTAAGTGTATGTATGTGTATTTTTTTTTTAACACATCGGCCGATTCCCACCAAGGCAGGGTGGCCCAAAAAAGAAAAACATTCATCATCATTCACATCATCACTGTCTTGCCAGAGGGATGCTTTACACTACGGTTATAAAACTGCAACATTAACACCCCTCCTTCAGAGTGCAGACACTGTACTTCCCATCTCCAGGACTCAAGTCCGGCCTGCCGGTTTCCCTGAATCCCTTCATAAATGTTACTTTGCTCACACTCCAACAGCACATCAAGTATTAAAAACCATTTGTCTCCATTCACTCCTATCAAATACGCTCACGCATGCTTGCCGAAAGTCCAAGCCCCTCGCACACAAAACCTCCTTTACTCCTGCCCTCCAACCCTTCCTAGGCTGACCCCTACCCCGCCTTCCCTCCACTACAGATTTATACACTCTCGAAGTCATTCTGTTTTGTTCCATTCTCTTTACATGTTCGAACCACCTCAACAACCCTTCCTCAGCCCTCTGGATAACAGTTTTGGTAATCCTGCACCTTCTCCTAATTTCCAAACTACAAATTCTCTGCATTATATTCACACCACACATTGCCCTCTGACATGACATCTCCACTGCCTCCAGCCTCCTCCTCGCTGCAACATTCATCACCCAAGATTCACACCCATATAAGAGTGTTGGTACAACTATACTCTCACACATTTCCCTTTTGCTTTCATGGACAAAGTTCTTTGTCTCCACAGACTCCTAAGTGCACCACTCACCCTTTTCCCCTCATCAATTCTATGATTCACCTCATCCTTCATAGACCCATCTGCTGACATGTCCACCCCTAAATATCTAAATACATTAAGCTCCTCCATACTCTCTTCCTCCAATCTGATATCCAATCTTTTGTCACCTAATCTTTTTGTTATCCTCATCACCTTACTCTTTCCTATATTCACTTTTAATTTTCTTCTTTTACATACCCTACCAAATTCATCCACCAATCTCTGCAACTTATACTTCTTGAAATAAATCCAAGTAATCAGCTGGCATTGTTGTGCACACTAAGGCACTGCTGTCTTGGCTTTAGATTTCTGCTTACCATGACTCCTAAGTCTTTTTCACATTCTGTATGATCAAGCTCTACTTCACCTTGATTATAGCTTCGAGAGTTATTTTCATTACCAAGGGCTAGTACTTTACACTTATCCACATTGAACCTCATCTGCCATTTTTCAGACCAAGACATTAATTTGTCCAAATCGTCCTAGAGTTCATTGATATCCTCCTCAGAGTGAATTATACGGCCTATCTTTGTATCATCAGCAAACTTACTCATGCCACTCGTAATCCCTTCATCAAGGTCATTAATGTAAATTATGAACAAGAGATGGCCTAAAACTGATCCTTGTGGAACGCCGCTAGTGACTAATCCCCATTCAGATTTCACTCCATTAATGGTAACTCTCTGCTTTCTATTGGTAAGCCATGCCTCTATCCATGCTAGAACTTTACCTCCTATACCATGAGCTGCCATTTTTCTTAAGAGTCTCTTGTGAGGTACTCTATCGAAGGCTTTACTAAAATCCAAATAAACAATATCATATTCTTTATCACTGTCAACTGCCTCAAATGTTCTATTGAAGAACGTCAGTAAATTTGTCAGGCAGGAACGACCTCTCGTGAATCCATGCTGAGATTCGTTTATCAAGTTATGCTCTTCAAGGTGACTTCTAATAATGTCAGCTATAATTGATTCTAATAACATGATGGTAGGATTGCTGGTGTCTTTTTATTCTGTCTCATACACATGCAAGATTTCAGGTATGTCTTGCTACTTCTACTTACACTTAGGTCACACTACACATACATGTACAAACATATATATACACACCCCTCTGGGTTGTCTTCTATTTTCTTTCTAGTTCTTCTTATTTCTTCTTACCTCCATGGGGAAGTGGAACAGAATTCTTCCTCCGTAAGCTATGCGTGTTGTAAGAGGTGACTAAAATGCCGAGAGCAAGGGGCTAATAACCTTCTCTCCTGTATATATTACTAAATGTAAAAGGAGAAACTTTCGGTTTTCCTTTTGGGCCACCCCACCTCGGTGGGATGCGGCCAATGTGTTGAAAGAAAGAAATGCGATTTGTGGAACTCGCTGACGTTGCCGCCACCCGGTCATTTTGGGTCAATTTCCCGCCTCTATATCTTGGTAAGTACAGATCAGGAATTTTTTTTGTTTTGTTTTATTACCTTCACAAAAATATTATCTTTAATTCTGTAAGAAAAAATAATTTTTTTTTTTTTTTCAAAATTTCTTGGACACTGGAGCACCCCTTGAAATTTTGCCTCTGGACCCTGAAAAGGTTCAGAACTGCAAGAAACCTCTCTTGTGTGCCCTAAGTGTATACAGTGGACCCCCGTGAATTTGCCGTTCCGAATTCGTGGCTTTAGTAATTCGCAGATTTTTCGTTAGAACCTAACTAATAATTGTTTGTGGAAATCCCTGCAAATTCGCGGAAATTTTGACTTTTCTCATGGCAATATATAATTTTTTGTGTGTTTTAACACTAAATATTAAGAAAAATATAATTTAACCCTTTGACTGTTTTGGTCATATACATACGTCTTACGAGGTACCGTGTTTGACGTATATATACTCATAAATTCTAGCGGCTTCAAATCAAGCAGGAGAAAGCTGGTAGGCCCACATGTGAGAGAATGGGTCTGTGTGGTCAGAGTGCACCATATAAAAAAAATCCTGGAGCATGCAGTGCATAATGAGAAAAAAAAAACTGACCGTTTTTTTAATTAAAATGCCGACTTTGTGGTCTATTTTCGTATAGTATTTATGGTTGTATTCTTGTTTTCTTGGTCTCATTTGATAGAATGGAAAACTTGTTATAGAAATAGAGGTGATTTTGATTGGTTTTACTATAAAAAGAACCTGGAAATGGAGCTCAAAGTAGGGGAAATGTTTGATTTTTGCCGATGTTCAAAAGTAAACAAATGATGTCATTGTCCAATAAATGTCCAACTAGCCGTTCTAATATGCAGTCATGAATGGGTTGACATTATTTGTACAACTTTTACAGTACTGCAGAAGTCTGCATAACAGTAAATCTTCTATTTTTTGTTTGAATAAAAATTCAAAATAGAAAGCAAGAGTAATATCAGAGGGGCCTGGAGATGTGACTGATGAGCAAAGAAAATGTTATTTTAGAGCCAGGAATGTCTGCATTGTTCATTCTAGACCTTATTTTGAAATTGTCATATTTTTTAATTTTCGTGAAATTGGCCAAATTGCAAATTTCTGACCACGATATTGGGTACTTGAAATAGGGAAATGGGCAGTTTCTTGTACTCAATCGATAGAAAAAATTGAGTTCAAAAGAAATAGCTATGAGTTAGGTCGACTGGAACAATGGAATTAGCCGAAAATAGGGCTCAAAGTGGGCAAAATCGCCGATTCATAAATATCGCCGAGGTCGCTACTTTGCGAGAGCGTAATTCCGTCAGTTTTCCATCAAATTTCGTTTTTTTGGTGTCATTACAATCGGTAAAAGATTCTCTATCATTTCATAAGAAAAAATAATTTTTTTTTATTGAAATTTTGCAACACCAGGAGACACCTCAGGATTGGGGGTTGCGACAGTCAAGGGGTTAATAAGTTTGTAACAAATATCAATGTAAATTCAGCAAAATTTCCATACATTTAACTTTCCTTTTACTAAATTAAATTTTTTACCGTATATTTACTGGCCTAGGAAAGGTTGGAGGGAGTGGGTAAAGGAGGTTTTGTGTGCGAGGGGCTTGGATTTCCAGCAAGCATGCGTGAGTGTATTTGATAGGAGTGAATGGAGA